AGGAGGCCCCTTAGATAGGGAGTGACATTTTGCTTGTGTTCTACTCCCTGGCTTGCCTGGCCCTCTGCCATGCTCTGGTGAACTCTTTGGGGAATTAGCAACCTGCTCGTGTAGGTGATTTGGTCTAGAGAGATGGATTTTAGAAACTTAGACGTAATGAAGACAGGTAAGGTAGCCAGAAGCATTCACGAGTTCACAGTACAGCCCACTCCCTGACGTGCACCATGAATCTGGTTTCTGTTCTTCTGTTTTAGATTTTTGGCTATATTGCTATGAGTTGGGCAATTTTTTCCCCCAAATAGAATGGATTTCTTTTTCTGATCTGAATGGTCCTATATGATGGTTGTAGGAAATGTGGAAAATACAAAAAAAAGTCGAGAGTAAAGAAATTTACTTAAATATTCCCGTCCACCAAAGGATAACCACTGTTACCAGTTGAGGCATTTTTTTTTCTATTTGTTTTCAATGATTTTTTTAAAATAAGGTTTTACTGTAAAGCTAGTTATATCACATATATCATCTTATAACTTGCCCCTTTCTACCTGTTTTTTGCTAAAACTATAGGGAAATCTGTTATAACTTCCCTCTTCCTCCCTTTTGCTTCAGACATAATGGCCTCACATATGCCAGGTGTTCCACCTCAGGGCCTTTGCACAGACTCTACCTATTAAAAGGAAGGTTCTTCCTCTGACTGTATGGCTCACTCCCTCACCTCCTCTAAGTCTTTGTTCAGATGTCACATTCTCAGTAAAGCCTCTCCTGACCTCTCTATTCAGTTTGGACCTGTATCAGCCGGAATACCTCCTGACCCAGACCCATCCTTTCATATGGCACCCAGTGCTGATGGCGCCAAACACATCACCGGTTTATTATCAATATCATTATTTTAACTAATATACTAATATAAGCATTAACCAACACTACTTTTTATAAGCATTTTGAATAACTACGTATAGCTTGTTTTTTGAATGGACCATACTTTAATCATCAACCAACTGCTGGACATTTAGATTGTGTTCAGTGTTTTGCTATTATAAATTGTATAAACCTACTATGAACCTTTTGTGTATAAAGTATTTTTCCATTTCTTAGATGTTAAAAGAGATTTTAGACATGGATTTCTGGATCAATGTATATCATATTGAGACATTTGGCTGCAAGTGATACAAACTCAACTCAAACTGGCTTAAGCAAATTAAATTATTGACCGACAAGTCTGAAAAATACAGGTAAACTTCAGGTAGGGCTGACCCCAGAGGTTCAGTCTATGTCATCAGGGGTCTGATTTGTATCTCATAGCTTTAATATCTGCTTTCCTCTGTGTTGGTTTCATTCTGAGGTAGCCTCTTTGCATTTAGCTCAAAATTGCTATCTTAAACTGCTGTTTTCAACCTACCAACTCTACAATCTCCTTAGAAAGATATCTTCCTCCCGATGTTTTCAGCAAAAACTCAGGACAGATCTTCACTGGCTCATCTTTGAATCATTCACTTTGGCTGCAGGACAGGGATATACTAGAATGGGAATAATGATGTCATCCCACCCACACCACACCGTCTGAGAGTTGGGAGGTACGGTTTCCCAGAGGAGACGTAAGGCACTTTGACCTGGAGAGCGGGAATGGAGAATGGGCACTGGGCAGGCCCCAAACTGCAGATCTTCATCTTGCTTATGATCATTGTAAAGACTCTGTGTCTTAGTTAAAAAAAAAAAAAAAAAAAAAAGAGGAAGAAGTAAAAAGTATGGAAAGTGAGAGGAGGCCAGTCACACCCTAAGCATGCATTTTGGGTTGTGTGAGGCCAGCTCTATCAGATGGCAGTCTGCCTCCACCATCACCATGAGGGAGCAAGAGAGTGGATTAAGAGGCGAGAAACTGGGCCTCAGCTCCCTGGGGAATGAGGCTTCTATGGCCTGCAATTGAATGCCTCACAGGATGTTGGTGGCCACCGGCTCCCTAAAGGCATGTTTAAGTTATGAGCAAGGAGACAAGTTCTAAATGTGAGGAGGAGAAACATTCTTGACAATCTCCCTAAGGGATTCTGATAGCGGTGAATGAATTCGGAGGCTGCTGACAGTGGAGCGCTCCATTCCAGAGCAGCTGCAGTGTTTGTCAAACAGGCCCCACACCATGTGCTGACAGGCACAGTGACTTCATTATCTTCGGCTCTATTGCCCCCACCTTGACTGAAAGCCATCTTCATAGGACAGCTCCGCTTCACGGCTGCCTGACTGCCTGTCTGTCCGTTGACCTTGCCAGCTTGCAGCATAATTGTCTGAGGTCAAAAGGGCCCTAGTCTGTTGTCCACTGTTGAATTTGCACCTGCTTTAAAGGCACTGCTGGACTTTTGTTGGACCTATGGTGGCTTTCAGCTTACCTTAGCCAAGTGTGTGGGGGCCTTCAGGAGCACTTACCTTGAAATCTCTACCCGGATGAGTCATCCTGACCCAGGCCTGCTGTTCTGCAAGTAGAAACCATTCCTAGTGTGAGGGAATTGGAAATGTCCTGATGAAAACCTCACAGTTCTGCTCTCTTTCCGTGGGAACGGGGGCTGTTTAAATCAATCCAACCCCTTTTATTTTTTGAGTCTGTTCTTATCTCAGAATTAGGATGTGTCACATTTAGTTATAGGCCAAAGAAAATAAGGTTATTACTTTATACTCTTCAGAAATTCCCGAAAGGCCGCTCATCTCTTCCATTCCGGTTCTGGGCTAATGACCGTTTGCTGTTATTTCATCATGAGTACCGGGGAGTTGCCACGAAGGGAGGCCGCCTGAGCCAAGGCTGTGTGGAGGGCCCTTCAGTGTACCCCGGGTTCTCCATGCAATTTGTGGCTTTTTCTTCCTTTCCATCTCATCAAGAGATTATATGGAGCCAATTTATAAGTAAATGACACATGTTAATCCTTCTCTTCTGTGAAGGGCTCTGGGTTAACTTGGAGCCCTCTTGCTCACATTCGCCCTGGTGCAGAGGGATAGAACAGTATTAATATGGGCAGACTGAACTCACAAACACAGACAGAGCTTTCCAGTATAATTATTTGAGTGCTCGAGGTCATGGACGCTGACTCTGATTGAATCAGGGAAACTCCACCAGTCAGTGACCAGCTTCTTCGTCGGAGTCCAGAGTCTGAGGCAAGGGTCTTTGTTTTCTCAGTGTGGTCAAGTGGGCATCCACCTCTTTGAAATCTCTAGCCCACTGTATAAATGTCTGGTATTACCAAACAACTTAATTAAAACTTTCACAGTAGTGGTTTACTGCTTGGGAAGCCAGCAGTCTTCTGTGATGGTGAGTGGAGTGCTTTTCCGGGTGTGCCTTCCATCTCGTGGTGCCCAGGCTGGATGGTTCAGGGAGAGACAGAGCAGGAGCTCCGGCTGGGCCAGTCTTCGTGATCCGTTGTGTATATCGAGCATCTGTGCAAGATGATGTTAGTGGGAGTTCAAAACATTTTCACTGTTGATAAAGAAGTAATCCACAAAAAGCACACAGCTAAGATAGTCTAAAAACAGGTTGTAAAGGGGGGAAAATAAACATATACTCATTTTGACTTGTTTCTGTGAAAGTTTACTAAACTTAATTAACAGTTCCCGAGCACTTACTGCAAGCCAGAGTCAGTGTTCCATGAGGCATCTTAGTGCTGAGGGCAGCCAACAAGGCATCCGCTGCCTTTTTCACACATGCCAACGTGGCGTGTGAGTTGAGTTCTCTGGGAAGGCCCAGTGCTTCTTTGCACTGCCACAGCTGTGTTGCCCATAAAAGCTATAGTCGGTCACTGAGCACAGCTGCCCTTCTCCCTGTGCTCATAGGAGCAACAGCAAGGATGACTAGAGCAGCTCATGTCAGAAACAAAGAGGGTCAGGAATTCAATAGATTGCATTACACAGCCTGAGGACTGGCATGTGGCTGAGTGTCAGGAAACTAGGAAGCCAGAGGTTCTTTCTTGCCGCAGAGCTGTTTACCCCATGCTGTCTTTCTGCTCCTCAGTCTTTATAGCAAATGAAAATTCACAGAAAATGAAATATGCTTGCTTCACATTGGGTCACATGACCCCTTGTGGTTAGGGGAAGGGGTACAAAGCACAACAGGTCTGTGCAAGGCCCATTCCTGGATCCTATGGACTGGATGGAGAGCAGGTCCCAGAGAATGGGGTGAGCTGAGTGAGATTATTGACCTCCATGCCCCACACCTCTCTTACTCAATGAGTGAGCGCTTGCAACACCTGTGCCCGGAATAATCCTCTTCAAAGCTTTGCCAACCCACTGGGTAGAGTTTCATTTTTTGTTGGAGGGTGGACATATGCTTGTTCAATGTGGAGAGCTGCCTTTATTATGTCGTACTGAGAACAGTCTTCGAAGCTGGATATTGCTTGGGCACAGAGCAGATCACTCAATTAGGCAAAGATGCTACTCAGTTGACTTACCTCCCAAAAGATAGATTTTTGAATATGGATAAGTGTTTTAATTATACTTGTTATATCTACATTTGTAGATTATCTATTGTTTAAGATCATTTGTTATTGTCTACAATTAGATTTTAAACTCTGATGGACAAGAGATTTATTTCAACTGTTAGCAATACGTGTGCGTGTAGATACTACTAATTACCTTATTATGGGAACAGTTTGGGTGGTTCTACTTTCATTTAGGAAGTGTAATATAGTTCCCATTCCCAGCTCTCTATTCCCTGTTGCTACATTCTCAGAGTCTCAGCAGTCGTTTGATTGACAACTGCTTAAGCATTTTCATTCTGAAACTGGCCCTTTCGTCTCAGGGCACACTGTGAGGGGAAGCTGCTGTAGGTGAGGTCTGGAATCTTTTCATTTCTCTCTACTTTTTTTTTAGTTCTCAGTTTTTACCACTACAGTTAATTTTTAATTTTATTCTCTTGGAACTTTTCCATTGAGGTTTAAAAGGGCACATGAAACATATTAATGTACTCACAAATGAGGGAAAATATCCACGAGGTCTTAAAATATTCTGAATAATATTTTCTTTCTTTTTAGCTGTCTCCGTTATGAGGTACAGCGCCTCTGCTTTTGGGTTTGCAGTAAGTAACCTGAAATGTACTTTTATGAAGTTTTGCACGTTTTTTTCCTGAGCCCACGAATCTTTCCTTGGGCTCTCAGTTAAGACGGTATTAGCAGATGAGAATTTAGCATTACAGACATACACCTTTTATGGAAATAGCTTCTATAAGAAATTACAATTTAATAGAAGCAAATTGCAATGACACTGTATGATCCTCAAGAACATATTAGGGGCTCACATTTCTCACAGCTGATTGAGAAGATGTTTTAGGATTTCAGCCTTTTTCCCCACTCAAAGCTGTAGGTTTGAAAGTGGGCACACATTGGAGTGAAGCCTCTGCCGGTGTAGGCAAAGTGTTGGGAGTTAAGAGCCAGGGCTGCTGGCACTCGATAAGTCCGACTGTAGCCCGACCAGGGGTAACCTGGCTTCCCAGCCTACTTCCTGATGCTAAAACACAACATCAAGTAAAACAAGTCTCAGGTGTTTTATAGGCTAGACATGTTGAACACTCGGGTGAAGGTTCCCCATGTCCCTTTAAGAGAGTGCTAGTGCTCGTAATTTTTCAGATGACGAGTGTGGTATGGCGCAATGACTCATACAGAGAGCTCCTGTAAACATCCCTCCTGCATAGCTTTAGGGTTTCCTGTACCTGAGGGTGTATGTTCCTGTTCCCAAACCCACATCATCCCTTTGTTGTGAGAACTTAAGGGGTTGCAGAATCTTTTCAGAATCTTTTGGAAGGTGTGGGACTGTCTCTCCAGAAAATGCACCGCTCCACACACACACTCCTCTCTTTTTCCCCTCCTTTGCCTCCCTTCCTTCCTCTTCCTCACATTCACTCATTCATTCAAAAAAAATCATTGAATTTCAAACTGTTGGCAGACTTCCCAGAACCCTTGGACGACCCTACCCTCACCCTGGACCCCAGGTAGAACAGTCCCATTGAGAACCAGAAACAGAACTCACACCGAATATTTTACTTGGGACATACAGGAAAATGCTGAAATTATCTTCCTTTCCATGGGGAAGCCATTTTTATATGTGTCAGAACAGTGTGCTACCCGCTCCCCCTACCCCCATACCGCCAGAATGCTGGGAGCCAGGGGCCCTGGGAGCGGACTCAACATGCCACAGAGTGTGTTTTCTCAGGCCGTGGGAGCAGTGCGAGATGCGAGGAGGAGCTGGCATATGGGGTGCCCTGGGCTCCAGCTCCCCAGGATCCACCGTGAGGAGGATGAGTGGCCTGTGTCATAGTGGTGCCAACCTGCTTTGCTCTGAGGTCACTTGCTCAGATGTTCCGAGTCACAGAACAGTTGCCTTGTATCTTCACAGTCATGTCCTATTGACTCTGGAAAGCCACTAATGCTGTGTCTCCTTCTCCTAGTTTGATGCCATCCTTGATGTCCTGTCATCAGCGATTGTCCTGTGGCGTTATAGCAATGCAGCCGCTGTACACTCTGCCTATAGGGAATACATGTAAGTGGATTTTTATCTTCTTCCAGACTGCAGAACCCTTGCAAATGAAGGCCACATAATTAGGTTGTCAGTACAGCTTACTCTGCAACTTTGGTCCCAGTGACAGGAATAAGGCTCCCAAATTGCCTTGGAGAATGGCTGGTGTGATATAAGCCATATGATAGACCCCTTCTGTGATGGTCAGAGAGATGGAATGTCCCTTTATAATTCTCTCTGTTCTCTGTTCTTGAGTCCTGAGTGAATATTTGTATGCTCATTTGTCTGCCTATCATTTTGTACGTTGATCTATCAATTTATCCATCCTTCCATCCTTTCTGTTTGTATTATTGGAATCTTTGTTCCCTTAAATTTTCATACTTTTTTCTTTTGAAAGAAGATGAATTCTCCAGTAATTTACAAAAAACATCTTGAGGGCATTCTAAATTATTCCACTTATCGTCCATCCCTCTTTGTGTTAGAGAATATTGCTTGCCTCAGTCTTCACATCCTCTGGGGGGATGATTTTGTCTTTGCAGGATTTGTGTTTGAGACCATAAAACATGTGTCTAGTCCAGCTTCCATCTTTTTATTCCATTTGTAATCCTCAGGGTGATAACAACACAGGTTCCAGAGTGAGATTTTTTGGCTTTAAATCTCAGCTCCCCCACTTGTTACCTTTGGGACCGTGAGAAGCTACTGACTAGTCTGTATCTCGTTTCCTCATCTGGAAAAGTAGGAAAACAATACCTCCTGTAATGATTGTATGACTGAGATATAATCATCACAGTATAACTTCCTCATCTGGAAAAGTAGGAAAACAATACCTCCCGTAAGGGTTGTTGTGATGTTTGTATGACTGAGTTATAATCATTACAGTATAAAACACACACACACACACACACACACACACACACACACACACACACACACACACACACGGAAGGAGGGAGGGAGGGAAGGAGGTAGAGAGAGAGAGAACAAGTGAACAAGAGAAGAATCAATGTATGGCCTGTAGTTTAGGAAACCTTAGCAACCATCATTAATTATTAAGGGAGCTCCCCTGGGCCTGAGCCAGCACTGGTCATCAGGGTGCAAGGTTTACCCTACCTCTGCAGCTTTTGAACGGTTGACTACTAATGAGTAAATGCCCCTTGCTGTGGTTTATGATGGTGCCCAAAGGTATTTTTGGCGGGAATGCCATGTCATACTCAAACATACAAATGTTGGGAGAGTCTCCTAAGCCAGGAGACTTAGGAAATATATAGGAGATTGAGTGTGCCAAATGGAAAGCTTTTGAAAGATGATGCCATACTGATTAGTAGATGGGAACAAATATTAATTTATTTCATCATTGGCTTTAGTTAGAGCACAGAAACTTCTTTTAGGTGTTAAATATTTATTTTAATGTGCTTCAGCTCTTTCAACAAATGTAATTAAAGTATCAAAAGGGTCAAATTTGTGATACGTGATATTGTTTAGGATGAGGTTAATTTTCAAAAAAGTGAGTCAATTTGTGGTTCAAAAAAATTGAAATAAGAAAATTGAAAATAAGAAAACAATAGTAGTAAACTGATTTTGTAAGATTTCAACTGATGGTACCGTAATGACCACAGTTAAATTAACATTTGTCTAGCCAGAACAGCGGCTAATGCATCCACCCAAGCTATTGCTGGCTGTTATTGGGAGAATCCAGTGAGGACAGTCTACAGAGTGCAACCCAGAGATATACTTAAATTTCAAGGACTAGTTCCTGTCCTATCACAGAACATATATCCTTTGTTCCTGTAGTTCTGCCATTTGAGATGATAGCCACTAGTGGGTATTTTAGCATTTATATGTGGCTGGTACTAAGAGGTGTTGTAAGTGTAAAATACACACCAGATTCAAAAGATGTAGAAAGAAAGAATGTAAACATTTTATTAATAATTTATAAAATACGAGTTATATTTTGATATAAGAATAGTTTGGCTATATTGGGTTAAATAAATGATTACAATTAATTTTACTTATATTTACATTTTTAATGTGGATTTTAGAAATTTAAAGTACACAGGTGTTTTATTTTATTTCTATTGAGCCGTGCCCTCAAAAGAGAAAGCTCTCCCTTCTGCCTTTTTTTATTTTAGAATAATTAATAATCCAGAATATGATTTGCAGTTCTAGAAGGAATCAAGTTCAGCGTTTCTCAGTTTTTCTCTTCTAATATGCTTATTTTTAATCTGATTTTTTTAATGCTAAAATGAGTTTCTTACATATTAGTCACAAAGTCACACATTGTTGTGGCTTTTCTTCAGTGTTGGGATCTCTGTATGTGCCCAGTGGCCTGGAGATTTTCTAAGATTAAGATTGATAAAAGAAAATGTCTTTGATTTTAATGATCCCAAAGCAGGTATCACATGAACTATTTTTAAAAAATGTATGTATTAATACCCAAAAGGCAAAAACTCACAGAGGAGTTATTTTGATAACTCTCAGATAATAGTTCATGTGATAATGCTAGTGAATTCATTCAGAGAGTCTTAATCTGGGGATTAAAACGACACTCACAATTCTCTATTGTTGGCTTTAGTTTAAAGTTTTAATCTCTGGCTCATTCCATGTAAATTAAAAAAACATGGAATTACTACCAGCTGAGAAACTGATGTTTGCATATTAATGAGCATGAATGAATTATGATAGAGCTGGAAAAGCTATTGGTTTTCAGTTGTTAGAGAATAATACTTGAGAAAATGGGGATGGTACCCAACTGGTTCTTAGTTAATTCTTCTAATTTCCTACTTGAACTCTAAGCTTCAGAATGAATCTTGAGCTTGGAATTGCAATGCAAACAGATACCTTCCTCAGCCTTGCCACCTGCTGACTGTGGATGTTATGGGATGTTTGATGCTCAAAGGAAGAGTATGTCTTCAGCACCGCCACAGAATGGAGCTTCAACCAATAGTTTTGTTTTATACATTTTTACCATGGTAAAAAACACATAACATTAAATTTACCATCTTAAACATTTTAAGTGTACAGTTCAGTAGTGTTAAATATATTCACATTGTTGTTAAAAGATATCCAGAAGTTCTTCACCTTGCAAAACTGAAACTCTGTACTCATTAAACAACTCCCAACCACCCCTCCCCCATCCCTTGGCAACTACCACTCTGGTTTTCGTTTCTATAAATTCGACTACTTTAGGTACCTCATATAAATGGGATCCTACAGTATTTATCCTTTCGTGACTGGCTTATTTCACTTAGCATAATGTCCTCAAGCCTCATCTATCTTGTAGCATATGTCAGAATTTCTTTTATTTTTAGGGCTACATAATATTCCATTGTATGTATAAATTGCATGTTGTTTATCCCTTCATCTGTTTATAGACATTTGGGTTCTTTCCACCTCAACTATTGTGAATAAGGCTGCTATGAACATGAGTGTACAAAAATCTCTTTGTGACCATGCTTTTAATTCTTTTGGATATTTATCCAGAAGTGGGATTGCTGGGGCACACGGTAGTATTATTTTTAATATTTTTGAGGAACCTCCACAGCTATTTTCCATAGCAGATGCTCTATTTTGTAATCATACCAATTAGTTATTTATTTTGAAAAGCTCCAAATTTGACTAGTCACCTTCTTGTGGTGGGGGATATGTGTGAGGAGTTAGGTGGACCATCAGTTTTACACATGGTCAGAGTTTTCAACAAGTGAGTAAGATAGGAAAAGAGGCAAGGGAGTCAACTTCGTTTGAAAGGGAAGGATTCTAAGAACTCACCAGAATATCCCACCTGGGTAAGGAGTGATGGGAGGACAATGGCAAGGTTAATGAATAGTCATCATAGATTAGAAGTCTCTCTTAGCTTGACAGTTGTTGGTGTGGGACACTAATTTGAAAGTGGGATGCTAAAATCTAGGATGTCACAGGTGGTTTGTTTATTGGCATGGATTTAGGCTGGGAGTGGGTGGCTGACGTAGGGTGAGGACAAAAGAAAAGGTGTGAGGCCAGGAGTTGGCTGGATGCTCTACCCGGGATTGAGGAGGGAATGTTTGTAGAATTTAGGGAGGAGATGGGGGGAGTGACGCAGGTGCTGTTGTCCTCAGTGAATGATGGAGAAGGGCCAGGAGGTTGGGTTAATAACAAGGAGGTGTGGTGGGTGGTTTTGAGGGAGGAAGCCTGAGAAACTGGTTTGGAATTTACCAGGTGAAAGAGGCTTTGAGAATGTGGATGAGAGAGAATGCCCCCTTCTCTTCAAAGGTTGGGAAGGCAACTTCCTCAGGAACAGGTGAGGGGAAGAGTCAGAAGAGTCCAAGGATGTAGAGACTCGGAGTAGGATGAAAATGTTTGGGAAAGAAAGGAGCAGGGCCACGCAGGGAGACACAGAGAGTGTGGTTGTAAGGCTGGGGTGGTGATGGTTGTTCTGGTGACATTCAGTGAAGGAAGCATAGAGTGAAATAGTCTTTAGGGTATTTTCTCATTTGTTTTAATAGAAGAGGTTCGCGTTCACACACACTTGTTTAGACATATAAAAATTCTCTGCAAGGATACAAAGGAGACTGGCAGCAGGATCGCCTCTGGGAGGGGAACTGGGGACAGACGAAGGAGGGGAGACATTTTCTTTATATCCTTTAGACCAGGGCTGTCCAACAGAATTCTCTGAGATAATGGACATTTTTTCTGTGTCTGCATTATCCATTGTGGTAGCCACAAGCCACATGTGGCCATCGAGTACTTGTCATGTGGCTAGAGTAACTGAGGAACTGGGTTTTTAACTTTATTTCATTTTAATTAAAATAGTCACATGTGGCTAGTGACTACTGTATTGGACAATGCCCCTTTAGATGGTTTGATTACTTTTAATCTATATATTTTTAAAACAGACAAAGTTGTTAATAAATCAAAGTCCGGGGGATTTGGAAATGAGAGAAAGGTATCGATGGAGGGAAGGAGGTGCTGGAGGTAGAGGGCGTGGGAGAAATTAGTGTAGGAGGAACTTGGCAAGGCCAAATGACACAGGGAATTTCATGCCTGTCTTA